TAGATATTACAGGAAGAACTGAGATGGGCCTGTAACTACTAGGCTCAGCATGATCGCCATTCTTGTATATAGGACTGATTTTAGCTTTTTTCCAGTTTGATTATCATTTTATCTATCTCTTTTATCACATCGCTAGATATGTGATAGTCTTAGTTATTAGTTTTAACATAGGATTTCCTTTGATCTTTTAATGGAATCAATCAAAATAAGGTAACTCAAGAGCTACTGAATGTTAGGGAACAAAAGAATGAAAATGAAAATAAACAAATGGGAAGTTTTGCCTAGTTGTTAAATATCTTAAGAAAAGATGTAGGTTAGACCAGGGGGTAATGACACAGAATTTTTGCAAAAGTGGGGAAAGACACAATACCAATGCAAAAGTAGGGGTAATAATACATCACCACTATGATCTGAGACAAACCCTAGCTCCAATGATGATAATGATTTAAAAAATCATAATTAAAATACAATCGCTAAGGTAAGCACCTGTCAATTAAATCAATTTGGATAACATCAGAGGCGTTATCGAAACAAGTCCCTGGCCCTTGTAACAACTCAAACATGTTGAATCTGTGATTGAAGCAAAAAGAAAACAGAAGAAATTTGGACAACTTGATAATGTACAGAAATCAATGTATATCACCAATCACGAACGGACGCCCACTCATCCGGGCATCATGGCGATTGTATACGTCAGTTTGTTAATAGACGTTCAGGATTAGAGTTGATTTAATGACGATCCCTCAAGGGTGCGGCCTTGCCTGTAGACATTACTAGAATCTAAGGAAACTAGCACACTCGTTCAATACATGGTAATTTCTAATCTCGATTTGAACCAAATCAAAGAAAAAAATGAATCATAACAAGCTATATAGTATGAACTGCTTTAGTATATATATAAATAATAAATAAGATTTGTATAAATAATAAATAAGATTTGTATAGTGCTCATTACTTGAAGAAATGCTCAAGGCACAATATATCTTCAGATTCAGTATTAGACAACTGAGCTTACTGTATAACCTTAAAGAACAGTTTAATCAAATTAAAATTGCCTGTATTTAGTAAAGAAATTTTAATTAGCTTTCAATAATTAATTAACAGTATAAACGATAATATTTTTAGTTTTTGTATTAGATTCTTAAATTGGCTGGTAATGAATTTTCATCTTCATTAGTCAATGTCAATTATGAGAAAATTAATCAATAATTATGAATTACTACACTAATGATGAATGAGGAATTAAAGATTGCACACTTAGAAACAAAACAGTATTAGACAACTTAACTTACTGTACAACCTTAAAGAACAGTTTCATCAATTTCAAATTGCCTATATTTAGTAAAGTAATTTATTATCTTTCAATAATTAATTAACAGTACAAATAATAATATTTCTAGTTTTTGTATTAGATTCTTAAATTGGCTGGTAATGAATTTTCATCTTCACTAGTCACACGGATGTCAATTATGGGAAAATTAATCAATAATTATGAATTACTACACTAATGATGAATGAGGAATTATAGTTTGCACACTTAGAAACAAACAAATTAAAATAAATCTCTGTAATATACGTGAAAGGAAAATTTACCATCGGAAAGAAGTAGAGTTAATTCAAAGGGCAAGATGTAGGTTACTTTAGTTGCTTTTTCTGTTACCTGCAAAGTAGGGGTGTCTAGGACAAGCTATATATCTAAACATTAATTATGCTTATTAAGAATAATTAAAATAGTAACAAACAACTTTTAATAAATATTTCTGATCATGAAAATCTTAATTACTGTAGCTGAATCAGTTACCTGTTAATTGCAAATCATACTTTTTCGTTTTTAATTTTAATCAATTTTTTAAATTTATATTTGTATGTTGTTAATACTGTATGAAGGCACCAATATTTATTGAGTGTCACCAATTTAAAGGTGTATGGTCAATTAATTATTAATATTTACATTGTAAATGTCTTCAAGCACAATGATGCCAAATTGCACTCTAATCAGACATACATTGATTGCATTTTGACATTTCACAAACTATATTTACATGAGGTGTTTAAAAAGGAAGACTGATAATTTAATTTTTTTATTATCACAAAACGAAGGAAAATTCATAGCATAATCACCTGTTCAATGGAATAATCATAAACAAGCCTTTGGCGCTGTGTATTAATTGATAGGATTATTCTGACATACCACAAACCAATAAGTGTTGAAAGCAGATTTCCTCAAAGAAAATTGATGTGTTATCCAGTTATACTGAAAAAATTTAAATTCCTTTTTTTTTTTTTTTTTTAAATTCATTTTTTAGTTTTTATATTTTCAGAGCATACTTTTCATAAAAAAAACCGTTCATCAAAGGTATGATGACAGTTGATGATATGACAAAAGCAGATGATGTCATTTGACTTTTGGCATTTTGACAATCATCAGTTGGTGGAAATGAAGAGGATTATATTGATACTTAAAAGAGGAGGAGTTCCATCAAACTACGAAATTGTTAATCGTCAATCATCATCATCTGATACTATAAGATTGCTAATCTTAATCTGTGGGACTACACCCCATGGCATGACTTTCTAATCTTGTCATCAAAAATATAGGTTTCTAGGTAAAATTGATAATGAAATTTATATATAATATATATAATATATAAATTAAAAGGCAAAATACTGAAAAACAACAATGCTATAGGAAGCAATGGCTGGATCTTGGTAAATAGAAATTTGATAGGTAAAATGTAAACAATAAACATATATAATATTTACACATATATATACATATAGAATGCTTAGTGCACCATTCAGAATCCAATTCACTAAGTAGCTAGTTGGTTGTCGGCAATACTGCATGCAATTTAGTAGTTTTAACTTTAATAAATGTTTTAAATAACTGCAAGACACTTCATTAAGGTTTTAACTACATTTAAATTCTAATGTTAAACGATGATCTATTGCAATACTGAAATTTTCTGTTTTAAATATTTTAAACTTTTTTAATGTTTTAAATAATTGTAAGACATTTTGTTAAGGCTTTAACATTTTAATTAACATTTTAAATGCGTTCTGGTTTTTAGCTACTCTTAAACATCTTTTTACAATTTTCCCTTTTATTTTCATTGTCATTTATATCATGGTAGTTATATGTACCAATCTTGTCTTCCTTTTTTTTGTGAATTTTGGCATTGTACTCTATTTTAAAAAAATGTTGGAGCCGTATTAGTCTATAGCATAAAATACAAATGAAATGAGTAGCACCTTCTTTACTTTTACTTATCTTTCTTTATCTTTTTCTTTGTCTTTACTGTATTGATCTTTATTATATTTTTATATTCATCTGCTAAGCAATTCAATTTTCTTGATTTTTATATGAACCAATCAAATTTCTTGAATCTTATCAAGAACACTTGTTAGACCAATTTGTTTTTAATCTCACAGATTTTATTTATTTTAAATTTAAAATATAAATATATGTCCATCATGGAAGTATCAGCACAGCGGCATGTTAATGGGCGTCTGGTTGGGAGGCCTAGTGTGAGTGGTATCTCTTATTTATGTTTCTGTGCAAGGCATTTAAATGAATGCCTGGCAGAACAGGGAAGACATCTAGAGTGCAGATCCTTGCAGAATGAATGGAATACTTCAAACTCTGCTTTTGGGGATTTCACCTCTCTAAATGTATCAAGTATCATTATTAATTTTCTTTTAAACAAATGTTCTTTGAACCTCCAAAGAGAGCAGGGAACATGCTTACATATGAACTAAGCTGCCAGAAAATTTAAGCAATTTGTGGCTTCTTGCTTTAGGCACTAAATTATTGTAAATAAAAATAATCCAATAAAATCGAAACAAAATATTTAAAATATATGTATCAACCATTCAATTTTAAATGTATTTATTTTATTTAATAATAAATGATGCCATTAACTTTGAATATCAACGAAGTAATAATTTAACATTTTTCTGCATGGGCTTACCACATGGTAAGTGGGTAGAAGACTTTTTGGAAAGAAATTCATGTTCAAGTACATTGAAATATGTGAACACATTTTCATGTTTTTCCTCAATCAAACCAATAGAATATGTTTCACTTTAAGAGGCTGTTCCCCAAATTCACATCACAGTCAGGCGTGCCATAATTTCAACATGCTGTATGAGAGCCAATCACAAAAGGGAAAGCTGATTTGATATCATGATGTATGCAGTTCACTCAAACACCATAGCCATTAGCCAATCACATGCAATTTACAGTACATGCTAACATAGTGCATAGTTTGAAAGATCAGTATGTATATTTGCTATGCTACATATATCACAGCCAATCAAATGATAGAAAGTTCAGCATGTTGATATTTTCAATAAGAATATAAGGATAAAACTTAAAGCAAGCTTGTTGAAGTACCATCTGACTTAAATTCTGACAATAACTCTTTTTTTTCTACTTACATTCCAATATTTTTTCATTCAACTTTTTTACTAATTCGATAATTGATTTATTATTGGACATCTCCACAGCAAAATGTCAATCACATACAGCTTCACATTCATCAATTTAATCCATCAAAAACTGCAACATATGCATGGCAACTAGATATGCATAGCAACAAGATGTGTCAAAAACTATCACAAAACTAATTCAATCATTTAAAACAAAATATCACAAGATATAAAAAGGGTGCCAAAAGGGAAGAAATGTCTCTTATGTTGGCAACCTATTAAATTATAGTCAAACCTTGGAACTAATTCTATTTTTTTAACTATTTGTTGAACTACTTACACGCCACAAGTGATGTGTATATAGCCAGTTTGAAGTGTATATAGGCACTTGTACACACAACTTTACTATAGTATTTGACAACACTCAAGAAATAAACATTGGTTAACATATGTCAAGGTTCTATGTATCCTACAAAAACTTTGGGATTATAAATTAATAATATATATTAATACATTTACAATGTTTACAAGAATGAAAGAGGCAACATATTGTTGGTTCTATCTCCTACCTTCAGCATTGAGGCTCTTTCGAAGTTGGTTCCTTTACAATGCCTGAAAAACACAATAATATAAGTTGATTAAAAATTAATTTAGTTAATTAAACTCTACTGTCCTCAAGATTCAAAATTGGTAATAACTGAAAGTATAAAGGGTAAATAATAGAAAATCAATGTAAAACATGATTTGATTTCTGTAACTGTTTGAATGACTGGTAATACTAGGTCATAGGTCATATGGTTGAATCAACTGTACTCCTACATGGTTTATTCAAAATATACCATAAATGTTTGATGAAATATTCTGAGTTAAAACAGCTCAAAAATTGAAATTTAATCGAGAATGATATCTGTGAATCATGATTTTCGCTATTGACAATCCTTGGTGCATGTGCTGTCTCTTATACACATCTCAGTGGATGTGGTTTATGTTTAATTACAGCAAACAACAAGTTGCTGAGAAACTTGATGCTTCCAACATGCTATCCCTACAAAGTACATTGACTTATTTGATTAAGCATGTTTGTTATGTGAGCACTGCAAAGAAATTCCAGATAGTTGAAAGGCAGATTACCATTCAATAATTAATACTTGGTTGACTGATGGGTCTTTTCTGAGTGGACTAATCTGGTAACTGACAAATTTGAATGAAATAACTGACACTGATTGACATGTAGATCATAAATGATTGACATCCGAGATGACATTGTCTTATAGGTTAACTTCAGTGATTAATAAGTCTGATGAAAAGACTGATGAACAACACTGTCATATTTTGGTATTTTTATATAACTCGTGGAAGAACACTTTGGCGAACCAGTATAAAGTTCATATTTTATATTTTACTTTCATAAATATATGAAGATTTTGATTGATTGATTGATTTGTATAGTTGATTGATTTGTTGGTTGGTTCGTTAATTACCTCATTCACCAACATCTGTATACTATCTGTATATTAATAAAAATAATTACAAAAATAAAAGTTCAAAATTATTTTCTCTGACGAAATACCTGGTCATGCCTTCCATTCCATCAAAATTTCATTCAACTGCGACTGCAGGTGTAGATTATGTGGTTCCCCGGAGAACCTCCAGCACGAACACCTACTACAATGTGAGTGGGTTGTAGGGGACTTTGTCTCCTTTGACGCTTCGGCTCTTCTAAATTTGGAGAGGGCGTTAATTGCTACCCTGCCACCGGGTTGAAAAAAAATAAAAATAAATAAATAAATAAAAAAAAAAATAATAATAATAATGATCGATCCTTTGTCATCAGGTTGTTTTAGCTCTTTTCTTCCTGTGAAGAATGTATTCAATTTTTGAATAAAACGTTACACAATAATAATAATAATAAAATTTCATTTTATTTTGACATAGTCAGAGCCAAGATTTTGCAAAGCAGGTTCCTCACTGTTGCTAGTGGAAGAATTTCCACTGGTTCCCTATTAAACAACATTATATTTAAGTTACTTTTGTTTTGTCACGTAGTTTTCATCAACCAGTATATTTTAGTGAATCACTTGACCCACTACCTTCCCCATCCGTCATATTCTTTCCTCATCCAATCATCTTCTGACACTTCCGTCTCTTTGAGGCAAAACCAACAAATATGGTCAATGTGAATTTTTTTCTTTACGCTAAAGTGCAATTCTTTGCCTCTTTTGGTTTGTGATTGGGTCAGTTTACTTTTAAGAAAAATATGGAGACATGTCAGGAATTTTATTATCTTGCCATATTTTTCTCCTATGGATACCACCTTTGATAATTTTGAATTGGAACTTTATAAATTTATGTTATCATTGTTTTATCATACAGCTGTTAACATTTATAATCTACCACCATCGTTATCATCATCACCACCACCCTCATTTCAGCCATTATTGGCCCATTGTGGTAGGAAGGCCTCCACAAAGCTGGAACCATTTACTTATGACTTGTGCAGCTTTCAACCTCTTCATGTCTGCAACAAATTTCACAATTTTGATTCCCCATCTGGTTTCTGTCTTTATTTCCACTTTGTGCAAATACTGTTAACATTATAAACATACAGTACTAATAACATTATTATGCTAATAACTAATAAATTAAAGATGTTTATGAACTTCTTCCTTCCAACAACCTGCTAAATAAATATTTTTTGTTGATAGACAAAATAGTCCTCATGATTAATCAATTAACACTAATTATTAATGAATACACCTTCATTAATGTTGGTGTCATGACCAAATTAACTGTAATTAGTCAAGCAGTAATTAATTGGAGATTAAATCCGCCCGCCCACTCAACGAACGCATCAATACTGTGTATACCATCAATATTTAAAATTACAAGTTATGACACAGCACATCAGACATACAGATTATAAATATTTTTCCTTGTTGCTATAGTGATTTAGAAATAACGCTATGACGGTGAGCATGATAAAAACAAATTCTAAATTTAAGTTATATTCAATTGATTTCAGATATGAAATACGATGGAATTTCTTCACCTCCAAAAACATGCCTAATCGGTATTTGATGAGTTTGTAATAAAGACAACTAAACAAAGAGAAGAAAGAAGGGGGAAAAGGAAAGGTGTGAAGGTGACAAAAAGGTGAGGGTAAAGGCAATTGAGTAGAAACTGTGACCTTCAGTTGACTCCTGTGACAGGTGGCACCTTGGGATTGATGGATATACTGGGGTGTAATACAAACTATCAACATCCTTACAACGTCATATTTCAAAATAATTTTCACATATGGCATGTTTACATTAATATTAATAATTTAATTTCAACATCAACTTTATAAATTTCAAGACAATTTCCACAAAACAAAGTTTTATGGAAACCAGGTGGCAATGTCAACAAGAAGTAAGACTTCAATAACTTTTCCACTGGATAAAATTTTTTAAATACAAGTACTTAACATGGTAAAACAAATATCAGAAAATAATCTAAATCAAAGAACTCCTGGGAAAACTGAAGAGAATCGTTAGTACTGTATGGTTTTGAGGCTCAGAATTACAATGTATTGTTGTACTGTATTGCACTTTGAATAATTTGTGTGTAAAATCAGGGAAAAAGCATTATACGTATTATAAAAGTGCGGTTATAATTGCACTGCTATAATAAGCACTCCGTACATTGTCTTATTGACAGCCATTTATAGTTGTGGACAGACAAGAGTAGCTGGTACCAATTTACCGGGTAGCTCAGGCTAAACATGCAGAGACCCTACGGGAGAAATAAGTTACTGTACAAGTTAGTCCACAACTTGAGCGCTTTGAAACGTCGGTATAAAAGTGCTATATATTGAAAATCTAACTACGTTACTGATCTGAATTTAGAGATCATTATTATACTGCAGTTTTAATCAGTTAGCTGGCGATAGCTTTAAAGCCTGCAAGTTACAATTTAGTCTAACAACTAAAAACAGATCTATTAATAGCCAAAAATTAAAAGACAAAAATGGATAATTAATCTTTTTGTAATCTGCAATTTAGCTAGCAGTAAACAAACCAGCATGAAATAATCAGAAGTAATCGAAGCAAAAAGAGTAAACAATATCATTGCCATAATTAACAACTTGGGTGGAGTTGATGTCATTCCTTAGATAAGAATAGTCTTAGTACTATGTTGAGACAGCTGAGATCATAGACTTGAATGCTAAAATGGATCCCCCTTACCCTTCATTTCCCTGACATAATGAAACACGTCTAAGGATAAACGAAAACATGATGGGGTTTATTACAATCTCTAGCTTCACAATGGACTTCCAAGTGAGAGTTGAAATGCCACGCGTGTCGAGAATGAGTACAGGTTTAATTTGGCATGAAAAAGGGATTGTTTTCATAACAAGTCAAATATTTTGACATTTAGTTAAGTAACAATTGAACTCTATTGTATACTGGTAGGGGTACAGGGTATTCATAGCCCTGGTCTAATGATACATTTGTTCAGTAACAGAATGCCATGTCTTAAAATCTTTATGCATTTTTGAAGAAATTCATCACATGGAGAAGGGTTGAATAGCTTGGTGGTAAGATGCTTGCTTTCTAATCACATGGTCTCGAGTTCAATTCCTGTCAACGTTGCAGGATTTTTTTCTCACGACCAAAACAACTCCACTCCCTAAACCTCACAGTGATATATTTGCTATTGACAATCCTTGGTGCATGTGTTGTGTGGTAAATAAATGAATCATAATTGAAAATAGATTTTAGAAAAAAAATAAATTATAAAAATAAATTTAAAAAAATAAATTACAGTTAAGACTATTGGTATAAATAATGCCTTAGCTAATAAAGACCAGATCAACCACTGATACATTATCACAACAATTTATAGAAAATTTAATGAACTTTAGCCCGTTATAGACATCACAGATAAGCAATTTCCCCAGGAATTCACTTGCCTGTAAATCGATAAAAGCCCTGTTATTCAAACTATGGGGCACTGCCCAAACTTGTGTTCTGAATTAAAAGTTAACTTACTTTTACTTTCAATTAAAAAGACATTTTGTTTATGTTTAGCTAATGAGTTTTGAATTCCAATTGTTTATCCAAGTTTTAATTCTATTTCTTCCATTTGTCACTACCTTCAATTGACTCAGAATGCACCATTCCGCACCGATAGCTCCCACTGTCCTGCATATTATTTATTTTTTTGACTAGCATAAGAATATGTCTTGTGACAGTGAAAATAAACAGAAGCTGCTATTAATTATTTATCATTGGAATATAATTTACCGACAATGAAATTGATCTATATAACATTTCTTAGAAAGGTACACTGCACTTTTCATGTATTGATGAAAATATGTTTTCCTGGTAAACGAGGTATGTACAGATGTTAGATTACCAAGTTTACCAGGGTAAAAGTTAAGGTCCCAAGGCAAAAAAGGTTTGGATATACAGTAGTATTATACTCTATTCTATAATATTTTATACACTTATACTACTATTTATAATAATACTATGTATTTCTGGAATAAGCACTTCATCTATGTCGAGTCTACTCATTAATGTCAGTGAGTTGGTACCGCCCAAATTAGGACATACTGTACTTTCTTC